AATACACAAAAAATATTATAATAATTAAATGAAATTATGAATTGTACAAACAAGATAAAATTAATACTATATATAAAACTTAAATAATATAGAAAATTACATTATAAATGAAAATTATAAATTATCTGAAAAATAAATAATGCATAATGCTTAATAATAAAAATAATAAGAATCAATAATAAAAAATACATAAAATACATGAAGAAATTGTTATAATAATTAAATGAAATTATGAATTGTACAAACAAGATAAAATTAATATTTATATATGTATAATACTTGAAAAATGTAAAAACTTACCATATAAATGTAAAACTATAAATTATCTGAAAAATAAATAATCCAATTTGTATATACAAAAATTTAAATGTGTAGGTAAAATTTTAAATAAAATAAATATATATAAATGTGTAGGTAAAATTTTAAATAAAATAAATACATTAAATATTGATATAAAAACAACATGTATTAATTTTGTTAATATTGTGCACAATTGAGTTTATATATATATATATATATATATATATATATATTAATAATATTATAACCTATTTATATCTAGCTAAGTCTCAATATAATATTATACAATTTTCTATTCAAACAACAGAATTTTAACAATATAATAAGTAAACAAAATCAACGAACTGTGTAAACAACGAACAAATTACTTACATTTTTAATAAAAATCAAAATTACTAATATTATTAATAAAAACATTCTCTTGTATAAAAAGAGAGATAGGTCTTATTCTAAATTTATATATATATATATACAATAAATTAAAAAAAAACTTTGGTGATCGATCTTGAAGTACTTATTATATTAAATTTAATTTGGCATTGAAATTCTCGGTTAGTTAAGTGATTTTTAACAAATTATTAAGCAAAACGTCTTATATAAATATTAAAATATAAATTGTAAATTGAAATTATGTAATACATATTGTTTATAAGTGTACAAAACAAATTTTGCTAACTTTCTATCTAAACGATTTAATTTCATTAAAACTAAATAAAAATTACACTAACTACATTTATTAAATATTTTGACAATCTGTATATGTATATATACATATATATGTATATATGTTTGTATATAAGGACTTAGTTATTTTCTATATATTACATGTATTTTAAATCCTTTTATAAAGAAGAAATATAAAGCAAGGATTTGTTCCTAATCCTTTTTTCAAAACGACAATGAAAGGATTTTGACACTTATTTGTGCATTTAGCGGAAGAACAAATTCGATACGGACTTTAATAAAATATATATACATTTATACATATATACACACACACACACACACATATATATATATATATATATATATATTTCACCGAACATTTACTTCTAACAAAATATACTACTTTATAAACACGAATTCAATAAAATAAATTTAACAAAAATTATAAGTAGTGAACGAAAAAAAAAATTTTATATCAAAAAATATAATTGGAGATTTGAAAAAAAAACGTAATTTGTATCTCTCTACTTTAAGTAAATTAATTATATTTAATCTGCTTTAAGTAAATTATATTATAATTATATTTTTTTTTTTGAGTGTCCCACATAAAACCGGTACCCAAGATTGTCTTTTAACCTGAAACGACGCCTCGGTTCAGGTTGAGGAACAATTAGGCGTACCGGTTTTACCAAAATTTTTTTTTTGATTTTAAATAAAATTGTATATATATATATATGTATATATTTATATTTAAATTTGAATATACAAAATTTTTATAAAAAGAATTTTCATTTACAGACGAATTGTATATTGAAGAAATTTGAAAAAAGCTGTGCTGAGTCATCAAATGGTGAGTGAATTTTTTTTATTTATGATATATATATATATATATATATATATAAATGTGTGTGTATTTTTATTCTTCTGATATAAAATTTCTGATCTAAAATCCTCATTTATTCTTTTTTTTAATTATTTCATTTAACTTTCCAATGTATATTTATTATTTGCAACTAAATAATTAAAAATTGATTTTGCATAGAAATTTATCTCAAGATTTTTATCCGAGTGTAAAATTTTAGTGAGAAATCAAAATTTATACCAATTTTTTAATTTAAAAATTTTAAACATAAGTCTTAATTTTTTACACGGTAGAACAAGATTTTAAAACAAAGTTTCAATTTTTTTTTAAATAAAACTGTTTGTACTAGAATGTTGTAATTTAAGTACGTTACTCTTTAATATGTTTACTTAAATATTAAATAAAAAAATTGGGTCACGTGATATAATATTTTATATAAAACAGCAATCGTGTCAAAAAAGATCATCACGGTACAAGATATTAAACAAAGTTTACCTTAAAATACCAATTTTCAAAAAAAAATTAAAATAAAACTGTTGGTACTAGAATGCTGTAATTTGAGTAAATTACTCTCTAATATATTTACTTAAGAATTTAATAGAAAAATGTGGGTCACGTGATATAATATTTTATATAAAATCACAATCGTATCAAAAAAGACGCATCATAACAAAATTTCAAGATATTCTGAATCGAATGAGACCGAATTTGGACCAAAAGTATGTGTGTATGTGAACAGATTTTTAGTTTAATTATTTATTTATCAAATTAATTTATATATATATATATATATATATATATATATATAATCACAAATGATAAACAGTCACAAAAATAGAACGAATAGAAAAAAATGAGGCTTTTAGTACAAAAATTTACAAATCATTTTAAAGGTCATGTTTAAAAACTTTGGTTACGTTTAGGAGATTCTACAACAACTTTTTATTTATCAAATATTTAATATTTTTATTTACAATTTAAATTTAATTATCAGCAACATTAATTATTTAGTTTAAAACTTATGCACAAATTTACTTACACTAACATACCACTTGAAGAAATTTTTAAAAATCCAAAAAAATCTTCATACTTTTTTAGTTTTAGTTAACAAACTTTGCACTTAACACTTTGTTTTGAAAAATTGTCACTGAGTTTAATTAATTTTAGTATGTATTTATTTAATTCTTTTTTTACTCATCGCCCCTTTCCCGAGCCCCCATCCAAGGGCGTAGAATAAGGGGCATTGGTTTTCATATCTTCGTACCTCCAACATCATCATCATCATCATACTTAGAAGTCACTCCTAAATCCTTGTTTTTGTTCAAAATTGATGTTGGCCCATCAGAAGTCTCTCTTTGGTAAAGATTTGATTTGTGGTACAAATCTTCTGGTAACTTACTGGTTTTATCATCATTGACATCTAGAACAAATGGTACAAAAATTTTATTACCCTTCAGTATTTTTAACTCCCGTAGGGTAGTTATAGTGATGGGCCGAAAATCGAAAATGAAAATTTTTGCATTTCTCTAAGTTTCGAAGGTTTCTGAATATTTTACTGGCATACCTCAGAAAAGATGTATGTGTGTATGTGTGTATGTGTGTATGTAAGTATGGATACAATTTTTCGGTCACGTTTCCGGGCGCACGGATCAACCGATTTGAATGGTTTAAAAAACATTCGATCCTATTGATAGGGAGATGTGCTGATTAGTTTTTGGCAAAGGCAGGTCCAGTCGTTACGGAGATACGGAGCAAAGAGTGCAGAAAATAGAAATCGAGTTTTTGAGAGAACGGAGTATCGGATTTGTATGATCCAAAAAACATACAGTTTATAATGATTGGGAGAACAGGTGATTGTTTTTTGGCAAAGACACGTCCCGCCATTTCAAAGATACGGAGCAAAATGTGCAAAAATGGCAGTTTTTGAGTGAACTAAGCGTCCGATTTGAATGATCTGAAAAATTTTCCGCTTGTATTGAAAAAACAATTGCTTTTGAGGATAAAAATTTATTACATCTTTTTTTATTTTATTGCATTAAAAAGTATATACAATCCTAATTTCATACTTTTTATCACCCCTATTTTTTATAGCCATTTTAGCAATTTAATAATTTTTTATCCCGCATTGAAAATTTTTGACAATTTTTGTTCAGATTTTTAAGCTTGAAAAAAAAAGCATTTTTAGACGATTTACAAAATTTTTAGACAAATTACATCATTTTTAGACAAAATACAGAATTTGCATAAATTATACAACTTTTTCAGACGAATTACAACTTTTTTAGACAATTTGCAGCATTTTCAGACAATTTACATAATTTTTAGACAATCTATAATATTTCTTCAAAATACAATTTATTATTATTAAGGGTTGTCCAATCCTAATACTTTTTGAAATTTTTGGGTAAACTTTCTTTATTATTTTTTTTTTTTAATGCGGTACTGACAAAATATATACAACTCTTTTTACTTCAAAGTATTATTTATTTTATTTTTTAACCACGACTATTTTTTTAAATTTTGGAAGAAATTTTCTCTTAATTAGGGTAAGTTATTGTAATCGTGCAAAAATCGTCCTAAAAAACTTTCTACTCGTATTGACAAAACAATTGCTTTTGAGGATAAAAAATTATTACATCTTTTTTTATTTTCCATAAAATATTTTTGTAATTTTGGATTAAAAATTGAAAAAATTACCCAGGCTAAGCACAGTCTAAGCGCCACTCTGGTACAAATATTTATCCAAGTGCGTTTAGACTGCTTATGTACTTTCCAATTTTGTGAAAACTATTGAAAAATGTGAAAATGCCGCCAAGCTAAGCACAGTATAAGTGAAAATGCCGCGCAGAATTATTTGCAAATGCGTGTAGACTGTGACTATGCGGGAGCACTTTTTCAATTTTGTGTAAATTAGGCAACTATTTTTTTTTAAATGAATTTGAAAAGAAATGACGATTGTTAATGTAATAATTAATTTATGATTTACATTTGATTTGCTCAGATATAACAAGATGGCAAAAATAATGAAAGTTACAGTATTTGTAATGATATATTTGAAAACGTTTAAAATTTCTCGAATATTTCATTACGGTACGGGAAGTTCCAGCAATTTGCCTTAAGGCACGATGCCATACACCACTAGTTTGTAGTTATTTTTTTACCTGTTTCTGGTTTAACCAAAACATATGCCACAGGTGAACTTGAGCCACTCCTTTCTGGTGACACGCCATCTCTGGACGTGTTTGTAATATTTAGAGGACCTGGTTGGTGTAAATTTTGTTGTGGTAGGGTTGTATTTGGTGTACAAGGGCATCCTGCAAGGCAGGACCAAGGGCCGTAGATTGGGCCAGCGTACAAAGCCTAGGAAAAAAATTATAATTAGTTAAAAGTGATAAGGGATGGTGATTTTATGTTGATTTTTACCTGGAGGTGTGCATGTAGGTCTGCGGCTGCTAAATGTGATTCTAGAGGGTTTGCAGTCCATGGATAGAGGAATGGATTGAGAACTCCTGAAATTAAATATTAGAGAGTAACATACTTTAATTACAGAATTCTAGTACAAACAGTTTTACTATAAAAAATTTTGAAACTTTGTTTTAAAATTTTGTTGTGCCCTGATGATCTTTTGTGACGCGATTGCTTTTTTATATAAAATATTATATCACGTGACCCAATTTTTTTTATTAAATATTTAGGAAAACATATTAGAGAGTAACATACTTAAATTACAGCACTATAGTACAAACAGTTTATATTTAAAAATTAATTGAAACTTTGTTTTAAAATCTAGTAGTATCGTATGAGAGCAATGGTCTTTTTTGATACGATTTGATACGATAATTTTTTTCTATAAAAAATTATACCGCGTGACCCAATTTTTTTTATTAAATATTTAAGAAAACATATTAGAGAGTAACATACTCAAATTGCAACATTCTAGTACAAACAGCTTTATTTTAATTTTTTTTTGAAAATTAGTATTTTAAGGTAAACTTTGTTTAATATCTTGTATTGTGATGATCTTTTTTGACGCAATTGCTGTTTTATATAAAATATTATATCACGTGATCTGATTTTTTTATAAAATATTCAATTAAACATATCAGAGAGTAACATACTTAAATTACAACTTTCTAGTACAAACAGTTTTATTTTAATTTTTTTTTGAAAAGTGTTTTGAAAAATCTTGTTATACCGTATAACAACAATAGTCTTTTTTGTTACGATTTTTTGATACGATTTGATTCGTTAATTTTTTTCTAAAAAAAATTATACCACGTGACCCATTTTTTTGTATTAAATATTTAAGTATATATATTAGACTACTAGAGAGTAATATACTTAAATTACAGCATTCTAGTCCAAATAGTTTTGTTTTAAACAATTTTTGAAAATTGGTCCTAAAATCTAGTTGTACCGCGATGATCTTTTATGACGCGATTGCTGTTTTATATAAAATATTGTATCACGTGCCCCAATTTTTTTTATTAAATATTTAAGTATATATATATTAGAGAGTAATATACTTAAATTACAACATTCTAGTACAAACAGTTTTATTTTAAGAATTTTTTGAAACTTTGTTTTAAAAATCTATGTTCCGTCCGTATAAAAACATATGTTATTAAAACATATGATGGTCTTTTTTGACAGGATTGAGAGTTTAGACAAAAAATTATTCTATGTGCATTAATTTTTTTCATTAAAACTGAAGATAAATATTTTGGAAAGTATTTTATTTAAATTACAGCATTTTAGTCCAAACATTTTTTTAAAGATTTTTTTTAAAATTGGTCCTAAAATCTTTTGTACCATTATGATCTTTTTTGACGCGATTGCCGTTTTATAAAAAATATTGTATCACGTGACCCAATGTTTTTTTTATTAAATATGTAAGTAAACGTATTAAAGAGTAACATACTCAAATTACAACATTCTAATATAAACTGTTTTATTTTAAGAAATTTTTGAAACTTTGTTTTAACATCTAGTTGTACCGTATAGAAGCTAATGGACTTTTTTGATACTTTTTTCTAAAAAAATTATATCACGTGACCAAATTTTTTTAATTAAATATTTAAGTATATATATTAGAGAGTAACATACTTAAATTACAGCATTCTATGTATAAACAGTTTATTTTAAGAATTTTTGAAACTTGGTCCTAAAATCTTTTTGCACCGTCGTGATGATCTTTTTTGACACGATTGCTGTTTTATATAAAAATATATATCACGTGACCCATTTTTTTAATAATTTTTAAGTAAACATACTGGAGAGTAACATACTTAAATTACAGCATTGTAGTAATAATAGTTTTATTTAAAAAAAAATTTGAAACCTGTTTTAAAATCTTGTTATATTGTTTGACAACATGATGGTCTTTTTTGACACTTTTGCTATTTTACACAAAAAATTATTCTACGTGTATTAATTTTTTTTGATAAAAATATAAATGAATATCTTAGAAAGCATCTTATCTAAAATACAGCATTTTAGTCCAAACAGTTTTATTTAAAAAAAAATTTGAAATCTTGTCGATGGGCTTTTTTTGCACGAAAATAATAAATTTGACTTAAGTTCCTAGACACAACATATTTTGCAATAGAAGACAATAATTTTCTGTGTGTCCATTACTTCGAAGTAGTATTTTTTCATCTCTTACCTTGGTTCCGTACCAAGTCGGCACCCTATTGACATCCTGTCTACCAGGAAAATTCAAGGGCCCAGGAGTTCCCAAAACAGCCCTGGAATTTTATTTGTAAAAACAGTAGAAGCAGTATTAAATATACTGTCTTTATTTGGAACTGATCCTTGGGTTGGCATCATCAATTGGTGACCAGGTTGTACCTAAAAATGGTAAAAAATAAGAAATG